GTACCATAGAATTAAAATCCTAATTTGTCAGAGTTGCTGCTCAGTGTAAAATTTAGGTCATCTGAAACCCTATGTAAAGACTTTTTTTTTTAAGCTATGGTTATTATATTATAGTTGTTGACAATAGACTGACCGACCACCTTCATTAAAACGTATGTGTGTATATATATATTCTTATATATCTATCTGTAAGAGTTCATGTTGAGTAAAAGTCAGAAAATGAAAGTGTAAAATATTTAAAGAGTAGTACAGGCCATTCATTTTAAGGGTTATAAAGCTCTGGAAGCTGTCAGTTCAAAGAATATAATCTAAGAGCTTGTGTGTAGTCAGGGGTTCTGGTTTGGGCTTATATTTGGTGGCATTAACTGGAGATTTAAGAGAGATTAGGCAGTGGTTGATTATAAAAATTCCAAATTTCTAAACCCAGTGTGATTCATATGGTTGTGGTAAAAGCTTACTGCAGACATTTTGACTTTAGAGCTAGGATTTTTTTTTTTTTTTTAAACTAGAAGCTCACATTACTTTGCTCTTTTCCCTTTTGTTACCCGCTGTAAGTGTAAAGTGAGTCTGTGATTCAGGGCCCCATGAAACAGATGGTTCTGTAGAAACATTTAACATGTTTTAAAATTTAAAATAAATTTGGATTCACTTAGATTGGGCATCTGTGCCTGTAAACAGGCATGTTGATGGAATATTTCTACCTTATTTGATTTAATTGTTGTCCTTGGACATTCATGCATGCTTTTTTATCCTATCCCCAGACTGAATGATCTGTACTCAGAAGTAATCCTTGAACAGGATGAAGGTTTCTGGCATTCCTAAATTCTTATTTAAATATCTGCGAAGGGGATCCCTGGGTGGCTCAGCGGTTCAGTGCCTGCCTTTGGCCCAGGGCATGATCCTGGAGACCTAGGATGGATGAAGTCCCAAGTCGGGCTCCCTGCATGGAGCCTGCTTCTTCCTCTGTCTGTGTCTCTGCCTCTCTTTCTCTCTCTCTGTCTCTCTCTCTCTATACATATGTATATCACGAATAAATAAATAAAATCTTTTTTAAAAATAAAAAATAAATAAATACCGTGAAAATTGGTTGACCTTGAAAGGATTTCTGCTGCTCTATTACATTGTTTGTTACAACTTATCTTCAAACACAGAGCTAAGCATACATAAAACACAGAGCTAAGCTACATAAGCATATAACTACAAGGACTCAGATAATCAATAATATGGTCATGAGAAATCCCTTCCCCAATGACTGCTGGTTAAAAATTGTCTGAATGAGCAAATATACTAGATCTGCTTTCCTGTATAATTTAACACTGAGTTCATCCCTCCAAGAAAATAATTAGAAACAAAACAGTTGTGAGACAACTATAGTAATAAAAACCACATAATAGAGTTTTTAAGTCCTGGCTCTATTTAAGGTATATAGTAGGCCCTGTAGGTTATATGAGGATAAATTAAGCATAGTTAGTTACTAGGCTTACATCCGAGAGGTGATAAATATTCATAGTTAAACTGCAGTGTTGATTTTATGCAACAGATAGACCAGGGTTTAGATAAAGACTGCTGTTCCTTTTGTTGTAATTCATTTAGAAGCCTTATTTATTTATTGATCCATTCACTTCACTCAAAAATTATTTGTTGTAGACACACTACGAGACAGGCATTTTCTCAGCACGGGAACAAGGCACACTGGCAGCTCTGATGAAATTACATGTGGTTGGAGGAGACACACAATAAGACAACAGATCAACTAATAAGAATTTAGGTTCTGTGAAGTGAGACCATCAGGTGTCAAAGGCCACTTAAGGTGGCACGGTCAAGGAAGACTTGTCTGGGTAGAGATGCAGAAGCTGTGATCAGCCAGGTGTAGGTGAGGGGAGAACATTCCAGACTGAGGACAGTTAGAGCTTGGTGTGCTTGAGGAGCACCAGGGAGGCCAGCCTGGGCAAGTGGAACAATGGTAGGGGATTGAAAGAGTTTGAGTTTTATTCTTTAGTAGCACTGAGACACCAAGTAGGATAATTATGATGTTAAGATATACTTTGTTTAAAGATTCCTCAGGCTGCTATGGGGATAATGGATTGAAAAGGGGCACGTATAATACAGAGAGACCAGTGAGGAGGTTGTAGCCATAGTGGACTTACTTAGACCAGGATGTAACATAAGAGATAGAAATGACCAGATTGGGATACAAGCTTTGGGGAATCACATAGATGGGGCTTGGCTTGGATGTGAGATTTGAAGGAAACAAATTTAGAAGTATTCCTAGATGTTGATTTGAGTAACTAGGGAGGTGATGGTGCTTTTATTAATATAAGAAAAACTGGCAGGGAGTGAGATTGTAGTAAGATAATGAGTATCATTAGGAATTCTGTTTTTTTTTTTTTTTTTTTTGCCATTTAAGTTGTCTGTTTAGATATCCACATGGGCTTGTCAAGTAGGTGTTTTGATTTAAAAAAAAAAGTTGATCACCATTTTCCAATAAGATAAGAATCATTTGACTAAATTTTAGATTGGTAGCTGAAATAATTCAAATGCCTATTTTTATATTGATTTAGCAATTTAAGGTACATGTACGTATCTATAAATCACATAGAATATATTAATTTAAATATAGTGCTTTTTTTTCTATCCACATCTTACAAAACAATTTTATTTAGAAACTTCCTATACATATTTTTTTTTGTTTTTTAATTTGAGAATGAGAAGCAGAGACACAGGCAGAGAGAGAAGCAGACTCCTTGCTGGGAAGCCCAATGTGGGACTTGATCCTGGATCTCCAGGATCATGCCCTGGGCGGAAGGCGGTGCTAAACTGCTGAGCCACCTGGGCTGCCCTCCTGTACATTTTTGACAGCTTCACATGCATTTTTGACATCAATGTCTTTGGCACCACTACTGCAATTTGGGGGGGGGTGGATTATGGAAGTGTTTCTTCTTAAAGAGGTCTTTGAAAGGCTTTTATATCTGTATCCAGCACTTGAAATTCTGTGGTCATCCTGATAATATCTGCGTTATCATTATTTTTTTTTACCCACTCCATTCTAGACTGGTACTATTTCAGAATAATAGATATTTACCAAATAATACATTGTTCTTCAAAATAAAATAATCAAGGGACTATCTCAAAAATGGAAAACTTAGTAGAGATTCAGAAATAAAGCAGCCTGTTCTTTTTTCACTCTGTATTCTTTTTTCACTTAATAAATTATGGAGATTTATTAAGTAAAATAAGTATTTTTCAATGTCTGCCTTGTATTCCATTGTATAAATGTGTCATTATGTATTTAACCAGCCTTCCAGTTGTGGTATAGGTAGCTTATTATCTTTGCTATAAAAAATAGTGCTACAGGAAATATGCTTGTACTTGTTTTGCCACATGTGTAAAACTTCTGGAACAAAGGATAAATGCATTTCAAAAATGGTTGGATGTTGCCTGTTTACCCTCCACCAAGGTGGTAACAATTTTTACTACAGACGAAAAGATTGAAGAATGCCTATATACAAACACTCTCCAAAATAGTGTATAGTCCAACTTTTTTTGTCCTGGCGTTTTAGTGAAAATAATCAATATGTCCTTATAGAGTGGGGATTGCATTGCTTTTATTATGGACATATTCTTTTAAACATTGTTAGTGTTAGTAAGTTTTTGTCTTTTGAAGGTAAATTTGAGTTTTGGGAAAAGTCAAATCTTATGCATAAGAGTTACTAAGTTAGCTGTCACTCTAGGGTTTTTTGCATTTACTTTTTTTTTTTGGTTTTGGTTTTATATGTTAGTTTTGAGAGAAGGGCTTAGTGAAGAAGAAGATCTAACTTTTGGAGAAAACTAATATCCTTTTTTTATCTTATGAATTTTCCTCTAAGTTAGTTTCAAAAGAAGAGCTCCAAAAATGTCTAAAGTAATGGCACTATCCATTGATATGAAACATTTTTCGAAACAGAATCCTTTGAACAGTCATTTTGATGTGTATAATCTGATGTTTGTTTAAAAAAAAATCATGCACCGTGAAGCCTTCAACTCAAATGGATCTCTTTCACATAATTTAAATAATTTAAATTTGCTTGAACTAAATTTTTAAAATTAGCTATTTCTTACTTTTTAATTTTCTTCCTTTATACCAGGAGTATACCCGGAGCAGGCCTCGCTGTCCAGCCATGGTCAACCCCACCGTGTTCTTTGACATCGCTGTGGACGGGGAGCCTTTGGGCTGCGTCTCCTTCGAGCTGTTTGCAGACCAAGTTCCAAAGACAGCAGAGAACTTTCGTGCTCTGAGTACTGGAGAGAAGGAAATCGGTTACAAAGGTACCTGCTTTCACAGGATTATCCCAGGATTTATGTGCCAGGGTGGGGACTTCACACGCCACGATGGCACTGGCTGCAAGTCCATCTACCGGGAGAAGTTTGATGACGAGAACTTCACCCTGAAGCATGTGGGGCCTGACATCTTGTCCATGGCCAATGCTGGACCCAACACCAGTTTTTCATCTGCACCGCCAAGACCGAGTGGTTGGACGGCAAGCATGTGGTCTTTGGCAAGGCCAAGGAGGGCATGAACATCGTGGAAGCCGTGGAGCGCTTGGAGTCCAGGAATGGCAAGACCAGCAAGATCACCATCGCCGACTGCGGACAGATCTGATGAATCTAACTCCTGTTTTATCTGAACTTCCAGACCCTTCCTTTAGCTCAGGAGAGCACCCCTCCACCCCCACCTGCTTGAAATAGCCCAGAGTCTCCGCACTCTCCCCACAGTTCTGCGGGCTCCGTGGTTCCTTCCCCAGGTCTAGCTGGTTTGCAGAGTTCGGTTTATGATGATGAAATAAAACCTAAACCACACACATACGCAAAAAAGAAGAGATCATTTGTACCATTATTGAACAAGCATTAATAGGATACTATTTACAGAATCTATAATCTTTCTAGATGCCAGATCAAATTGTTTATATTTTCCCTCTTCTAAATCTAATCTGTATATTAGCAATATAGATAAGATTATCTAACATTTAGCATATTAGCTAACTAAATTTCATGAATATTTCTTTTAAATTTTCAAATATTTAACTTCAAAACAAGTTGTGTGTTTTAAACAGGGAGTTAATTTTTATATTTATGGTTTTTAAGACTGGTCAAATTTAGTGTCTTTTATGCAAACTGCTTTTCAAAGAAGCAGACTTGATGCTTTATGCATTGTAAATCAGATATCTGAAAATCTATTTATAGGCATCAGACTTTATTATAATGCTAACTGAAGCAATTGTTCTTTACAGTTTTCCAAAATATAATTGTCTGAAATAAACCATCTTGTTTTTAATTTCCACAAAAAATTGAATTATTGTCTTAGCAGTTTGTTGTGAGATAATTGTTAGCAGCTTTCAGAGAGAGATAGCATCTTTCTTTCTTAAATATTTAGTATGTCTGCATTCTGTTCTGCAGAGAAATGGTCAATGCCTGGTTCGCTGCGAGAGTCCACACCATCCCTGTGTGTAAAGAAGGCATCAGAGGCCACACAGAATCTTGCTCTTGCGCCTCGCAGCAGAGTCCCTGTGCAGACAGCAGTGCGCCTGGAACACCAAGCAGGAAAATGTCTGCCTCTGAATTTGACCGGCCTCTTAGAGCCATTGTCGTCAAAGATTCTGAGGGTACTGTGAGCTTCCTCGCTGATTCAGAAAAGAAGGAACAGATGCCTCTAACCCCCCGAAGGTTTGATAATGATGAAGGGGACCAGTGCTCGAGACTCTTGGAATTAGTGAAAGATATTTCAAGTCATTTGGATGTCACAGCCTTATGTCACAAAATTCCTTGCATACTCATGGACTTATCTCCGCTGATCGCTATCCCTGTTTCTTGTCTGTGAGGACAGCTCCAATGACAAGTTTCTCATCAGCCGCCTGTTTGATGTTGCAGAAGGTTCAACACTGGAAGAAGCTTCAAATAACCGTATCCGCTTAGAATGGAACAAAGGCATTGTGGGACATGTGGCAGCACTTGGTGAGCCCTTGAACATCAAAAATGCTTATGAGGTAAATAGGGGATCACTGAGACCGGTGAGTGGGGTGAGGAGAGAAATGGGGTGGAACGTTGGACACTTGATGTGAATCGTGGGCGATGTTTCAAACTGAGATGTAATAGAATCACTGAAATGTAGTAATTTGCAAACTTAGAACTGGAATGTATGGGAAGAACTTTTCCATATTTTATTTTATTTATTCATTAAGAAATTTTATTTTATTTTACTTATTTATTTAGGAAAGAGAGAGAGAACAGGAGGAAGGAGAAGGAAGGAGCAAGAATCTCAAGCCGATTCTGTGCTGAGCACAGAGCCCCACTCAGGGCTCGATCCCATGACCTCGACATCATGACCTGAGTCCAAACCAAGAGTCTGACCCTTAACTGACTGAGCAACCGAGGCACCCTGCAACTTTCCCATCTTGTAAATGCCAGAGTTTCTTTACTGGTGGTTGAGTCAAGGATATGGGCTATAGAGAAATCTTGTCCTTTTTTATTTTTTTAAAGATTTTATTCATTTATTCATGAGAGACACAGAGAGAGGCAGAGACAAAGGCAGAGGGAGAGGCAGGCTCCTCATGGGAAGCCCGATGCGGGACTCAATCCTGAAACTCTGGAGTCACTCCCTGAGCCAAAGGTAGATACCCAACCCCTGAGCCACCCCGGTGTCCCTGTCTTGGTTTTCTCCTTATGATAATTTAACATAGTTCATCTCATAGTTGTATTCTCTTCTTTTTTTTTTTTTTACCTCTCGAATATACATATCCTTATCTATGTTATATCCACATGGAATTCTGGGGATGTTACTGAGATTCTAAAGCACTCCATCCAAAACTGTCAAAAAACCAAACCGGTAGTCTTTTTACATTCATTTGAAGTCCCATTGACACCAAGATCTGATTTTCTTTCTTTTCATCCTTTCTTTGATTTATTGTATTAGACAGATAAATATATGTCTTTAAAAAAATGGTAATTGTTGCTGTAAAATATTTCAGCAGGGATATTTGACATCCTTCCACTTTTGCTGCAATTGTATATGGGTCTTTAATTATGGACTTAAATATTATACTATCTGATTCTTCAAATTTCCCATTTAAAATGATCTTTTTTATTAATAGAATTATGGTTTTTAAGCAGAGCATCTGAATTGAATGACCCTATGTTTATCAGGTATTTTCTAGCACCTTGATAGAACAGTTGGCCTAGCTACCTTCTCTATGGTACGCTCTCAGTGCTCTGTGGTGATCCTGGCTTGCAACTCCTCTGTGTGATTTGAGGGGTCATTGCAGTCTTATTCACCCCTGTATTCCTGATGCTTAACACAAGGCCTGGCACTTAGTCAAGTCCTAATAAATATTGATTGAATGAAAATTATAGAGTAGATAAAATAGATAAGAAGCATAGAAAACAGATCATAATAGATGCCAAGAAAAATGTGGTAGGTTCAGGGATGTAGGAGATGACATTACTTGGGGAGCAGAGAAATGTTTCTTTGAGGAAGGAATGCTTGATATGGCCCCTGGAAAATAGATAGGATTTGAATAGATTGTGTGCAAGGTAAATCCAGATGTAAATAGAAGTTGAAAGAAGCCACCATGTGGTACTTGTATGGACATGTGTGGGTAATAGTGTAGATATTGAGGGGTTATGGGGACAGAGCCCGGAGATTACTGGAGTCTTGGATGCCAGGCTGAGGGATATGTCTGTGGTCCAGAGCCATGAGGAATAATTGAAGGTGGTTAGATTATGGTGGTTAGATTAAGGTCGTTATGATTCAGACTGATTTGCCAGATGAACTGTACAGTGGTCGTAAAATGAAAAGTACTAGAAATTGGGAGGATAAACAACTTAATAGTATGAGGAAGTGAGGACCTGAACCAGAGCACTGGCCTTAAGGAGCAAAAGAAGGGAATGGATTTCCAGTGAAGAAGTGGAATCTGCCAGTGGTGGCAGCTAAGATGGGAGTGAGGGGGTTGGAGGAGTCAGGGATAAGTGAGGGTTTGAAGCTGGGTGAATAAATATGGTAACTAGTGAAGAACACTGAGGGCAGGGATTTGGGGACAGATATGATAGTGCAGGTAGCGAAATCATGAGGTATTTTTCAGAATCCATTCTGTACAAGGATGTACAATCCATTTCTTCCAATTTGATACTTTGTGGAGCTATCTCCGTGTCTTCTGCAAGCCCTGTAGTAACATCACACCGTAGCAGACTACAAGATGGGTATTAAGCACACAGCTGAAGGGTTGCTGTGAAATTTGCAGAATTCCCTTCCTGTCTTAGGTGCCAGCTGGGTTTCTGCTTTTCAAGGGCACGATAGTCCCAAGTACAGTAGGACCGTAAATAGGCTTCAGCTTGGCTGAGAAAGCCTTCATTCGTCTGTGTGGTTCTAAGCTGCTGCAGCTCTGAGAACTTCCTCACATGCATTTTGGTTAATATGCTTACCACTTTCAAAGTTTTGACAGCATAATTTTTGTTTTGCAGTAATGCTCTAATTCTTGCACTGCTTTCTGAAAGAGGCCCATGTCCCTGATTTGCAGTGCATCTGGGGTGAAGCCTCTTATCCTGTGGCCTCTTCAAATTGCTGACTCCCCCTTAGCACCCTTGATCTGTGTTTATAGTGGCCTTTGCTGAAATGAATCGTGTCTCAGGAATTTCATTCCGAAGGTGTGGAGTTGATCCATGACGTGACGTGCAGTTTACATTGCTGTTGACAGTGGAAACCCCTTGGCTAATGGATAATTCATTACTCAGCCCCACCCCTAATTCCAATGATCAAGAGAGTGCCTCAGAGCCTTTTGTGAAAGTAGCCAGAACAGGAAAATGCATTCTGTTTTCTGAGTCCTGCCTCTTCAAACCGGCAAAAAGCCTGAGAATCAGAAACTTCCATGGAAGGAGGTGAGCAGAAGAAGACAGATGTTTCAGCTTAAGCAGAGAGAGTGAATTTGTCCTTCCTCTGCCTCTTCGTTCTGTTCAGGCCCTCAATGATTTGGAGGATGCCAACCTGTATTGGTAAAGATCTTTGCTCAGTTTATTGATTCAAATGCTAATCTCTTCGGGAGACATCCTTACACGTGTACCCAGAAACCCAGAAACAATGCTTTATGAGCTATTTGGGCATTCCTTAGCTTAGTCAAGTTGACACTTAAAATTGACCATCTCAGGTTGCCTTGAACACCTTAGTTTCATGTCCTACAGAAGATTCCCCAATATTTCCTGTCAAAGGATTTATATTGTCAAAACACTCCTCTTCCTCCCAGGTCAACAGAAATGCAAAACGTAGACTACTGTTCTGTTTCCATAGGACAGGCACTGCATGTCGTACCATGGTTTCTAAGGAGAAGACTTGCAGGTTTTTAGGGAGGGGTCTCATTGCTACTCATGTGACCTTTACCATGTAACTGCTAGTCTTCCCACCCTGGCGACTTTATTCCTACTTTTTATTCCTTGTCTAGATAAATAAGCTCACTTTGCACATCTCACTTTGTCAAGATGTTTTCCTAAAGAAATATGAGCTCTCTCAAATGAGAGTATGAGTTCTCCATCTGATGAATAAATGATTTCCAAAGTGAATTTTAGGAGAAAGAAGTAACAATTGTTTTAATTTTAATAAATTGTTTTAGTTTTGATAAATCTGCTAATATGTCATGATCTAATTTGCCCCAGGGAACATAGTTTGGGAATTGGTATATCTGTCTTTTAGTGTTCTAATAATCTTTTGGGATTATCTTAAAAATGCCACCTTGTGGGAGAAAACTAGCCCCTAAATCGGTAAGACTGCTGTGTTGTTTTCTGTTATTTTTATTTTTATGTAATTTCAAACTTACGGAAAAGTTGTAAGACTGGTATAAGAAACTTCATATACACTTTGCCCAGATTCTCCAGTTATTTGTTTTGCCCCATTTGCTCTATCATTTTCTTTTTCTATATACAATGCATGTAAGCAATATATGCATACTATTTTTCTTTTTTAAAATATTTTATTTATTTATTTATTTTAGAGAGAGAGAGAGCACGAGTAGGGGCAGGGTCAGAGGGAGAGGGAGAGAAAATCTCCAGCAGGCTCTACCCTGAGTGTGGAGCCCAATGTTGGGCTCAATCTCATGACCCTGAGGTCATGACCTGAGCCAAAGTCAAGAGTCTGTCACTCAACCAACTGAGCCACCCAGGCACTCCATGCATATTATCTTTCTGAACCACTTAATAAGTTGGAAACATTTTTACTAGATATTTCAGTGAATATTTTCTAGAAATATTCTTTTATACAATTATAATAATTTTTCAAAATCAGGAAATTTTATGATATAATGCTATTTCCTAATAGGCCGTAGTCAAACTTTGTCTATTGTCCTATTAATGTTCTTTATAGTTATATTTTTCCTCTCATCAAGGATCTAATCCCAAATTATATAATGCATATGCCTGTCATGTCTCTTTAGTCTCCTTTAAATCTGGAATCGTTTTTCGTGTTTATCTTTCTTGATGTATATTTTGAGAGTTCAGGCTAGTTATTTTGTAGAATGTCTTTTTGAGGAGATTCAAGTAAGGTATTTTGGGCAGAAATACCACCGATGTCAATGTTGAGACCTTGTTTGGCTTTCCAAACAAGTCAGTTCTTCACTTCTTCACCACCTGGCTGTCCTACAATCCAATTCAATTCTGATTCTAACTACTAGTAGTTAGCACCAACGACCACTAGTAACTAACTTCTGACACTCTACTGCTACCAGGTAGTACAGACTTCACAGTCCCACTAGATTGTCCCCAGTTCCCAGTTTAGATACCAGTCACCAACAGAGTCCCTAGGCTACTCACATTTATGTCTATCTACAAATCAGGTGATTTCCTCACTCAGGTTCAATAATTTGCTAGAATGACTTACAGAACTCAAGAAAGCACTACATATGCAGTTACAGTTTTATTATAATGAATACAATTCAGGAACACCTAAATGGAAGAGATGCACTGGGGCAAGGAATGGGAGGTGGGTGACACAAAAATTCCATGCCCTTTCCAGGGTGTGCACCACCATCCCAGCACATAGATATCTTCATCAACCCAGACACTCCTGCAGACGTCATTGTTCTGTTTTTTTTTTTTTAATCAAGGTTTCATTATGTAGACATGATTGATTAAATCCATTGATGTCTGCATTCAATTTCCAGCCCCTTCTCTGTTGTCTAGAGGTCAGGGTGGGGCTCAAAGTTCTAACCCTCTAAGAAGTCATTTGGTTTTTCTGGTCCCCATCTGGAAGCTATCCGGGATCCACTCCCTATGACTCATCTTATTAGAATGAAGTTAGGTATGGTTAAACAGGGCTTGCTGTGACTATCAAAAGACTTTCCTATTTCTCAGAGAATTACAAAGGTTTTAGGAGCTCTGTGCCAGGAACCTGGGACAAAGACTAAATATATATTAAATACTCATAGTCTTCTCAGCATATGTTTTCAGGAAACACGTGATATTAGTTTACCCTAGTGTTGATGATATTAATTTTAAAAACTTGGTTAGTGGTGTTCACTAGGTTTCTCCACTATAAAGTTACAGGTTTTTGTATTATAATTAATAAATATCCTATGGTAAGATGCTTTGATATTGTGTATATATTCTTTTCTTTTTTTTAAGATTTTATTTATTTATTCATGAGAGACACAAGGAGAGAGAGAGGCAGAGACACAGGCCAAGGGAGAAACAGGCTCCATGCAGGGAACCTGATATGGGACTCGATCCCGGGTCTCCAGGATCATGCCCTGGGCCGAAGGCAGCACTAAACCGCTGAGCTACCCGGGCTGCCCTAAATATTCTTTTCTTTATGAACCTACATTTACCAGTTTAGCATCCACATTTTCTAACTCCATTATACATTCTATATTTTTTAGTTGGCATTCTCATTTAAAGAAGAGTTTACCTTTTTTATTCATTCATTCATTTATTCATATCACTGTGGACTCATGGATTTTTATTTTGTGCAATAAGTTTATCAGATTCTCAAATTATATCAGATTTGCCAGGTTCCTGTATCTTTTTGATAGGTTGTCATCGCTCTGGGCTTTCTCATTTTCTTGTGGGCTGAAAGTTCTAATTGGCTTAACAATATGTTCCATGCCTGTTTTATACTTTCCTCCTCCTAGCCCTATTATCATTCTTTTTCCCAAGCAACTGTGGTTCCTTTCACTGGAGGGAATGGTAATCAAGATAGAAACTAAAATCTGAGTATGGGTTGTGTTCATTGCTTCTGGTATGTGTTTGTTGCTACCGGTATGTCAGTAGACAGAGCTAGGAATGAAGGATATAAATAGACACACATACCCATATTTTATTTGCTTTTATATCTATCTGCTTCCTATATTAAAAACAATGAATTCTTACCGATACCTCCAATTTCAATCTGACACCTCAAGGTGCATTTTGTTTTACTTTTTCTTTGTCTGTCAGGTTGTTCCTTCTCCAAAAATGAAAACCCAAGCTTCCTAGTTCTTTATGTATTTGTGCACATGTTCAAGCCAAGTTCCAAGCTCTTTACTCCTTCATGTAGATTCTGGTAGCTTTCCCTTCAGGCTGAACAATTTTCATTAGCACTTCTTGTGATACAGGCCTGGTGGTGACAAATTCAGTTTTAGTTTATCAGAAAATGCCTTTATTTTGCTTATGTTGTTGAAAGATATTTTACTGGATAGAAAATTCTCAGTTAATAGTAGTTTTCTTTCAACATTTTAAGAGCTTTTCTACTCTTTTGGTCTTCATTTTTCTCATGAGAAGTCAGCTCTGCTCCATATTTTGATCTTATATGTTTCTTGCTATCTATAATTTTCATACTCTGTGTAGGTTTAAGGTTTTCACTAACTTTGGGGAAATTTTGCCCTATGTCTTTAAGTATTTTTCCACTCTATTCTCTTCTCTTTGGGACTTCAATTATATATATGTGTATGTTGATATTGTCCCAGAAAACACCAAGGCTCTGCTAACTTTTTAAGATCTGTCTTTTCTTCATTGTTTTTAATGTACTGTCAAATCTGTCAATGAACTTTTCATTTTAGACACAGTACTTTTCAGCTCCAGAGTTCCCATTTGGTTTCTTTAAAATAAGTTTTTAAATTCTATTATTTTTTCATAGTTTCCCATCTGTTCATTACCACATTTGTCTTTAAGTCCTTAAGTACATTTATGATAGCTGCCTTAAAGTCCTGCTGTGTTAATTTCAGTATCTGAATGACCTTTCAATTTCCTGTTTTCTTCACCCATGATGTGATTTTTTATTGTATGTTGGACATTGTACGTGTTTCCTTGCAGGGCTGGATCCTACCATCTTTCTTTAAAATAGGGTGGTGCAATTACTGAAAGATCTTTTTGGTCCTGTCAGGCTTGTTATTATTGGGTGGATATATTTTAGTTTTGAATATGGTCTTAGGGAATGCCCCCCAAACCTAGGGTATGGTCCTTACCCCTAAGGAGTGGCTTTTTTGTGTCAACTGAATGCTTGAGATGGAATGGCTGAGCTGGAACTCCAGTGTCTCCAAACATTTCTTCCCTAATTGTATCCCATTCTGCTTTCAACCTTCAACATAATTTTTAGCTGGTTCTCTTATGAGTCTTGCCCTATACATGTGTGAAGTGAGTAGCCATTCAGTCTTCCTTTTATCTCTCCCCCTAGACCCCCCAGCATAGCTCTCTTATTAGGTACTTTGCTGTGCAAATTTTAGCCACTTTAGAAGCCCTGAAGTCTTTCAGTTCCATTTGGAACCCTTGCTACACTTGGATACTGCCTGCCTTCTTGCCAGCAGGAAAATGCCACCAGGAAGAAAGCCAGAGTGGTTGTTCTGTGTTCCCTTTTTCATGACTTGTGATTTAGTTGTCTCATACATTTGGTCCAGTCTTACAGTTTTCACTAAGAGGGCAAGTCTGGTACCAATTGCTTTATTTTAGCAAGTGGATATCTAAGGCTTTATTTTGTTTTGTTTTACACTACTGCTTTTTTCTTGGGTGTTTCCTGGACCTAAAGGGGTTAAAGATCTATCTGCATATTGCCTTTGCGCTGAGCGCACTGATCAGAAAATCCTTGAGATGCCAGATTTCACCTAAAGTGAATTTGAAGCACACACATTACTCCCACCTCCTTCAATGAAATGGAATCCAGGGCTGCTGTTGATTTTAAATTCCTGGTATGCCTCCAAAGCTGTGAAAGCCCTGTTAATTCCAGTTTGTCAAACTCTATTGCTTTGATTGGATTGTTGTTTAGTCCTCTTCCTCATAAAGTGGTCTTATAATTCAAATATTTATTGACAAAATAATTGTTGAGGATGCATTTATACTCATATTTTGATAATTAGCTTGTAGAACAACCCCACTATATATGTTAATAATTTTGTCACTTCTTTAATTCATCAATATCAGTGTCCTGTCCACCTTTTTAGATACATTCCAATATAGTATATTAAGAACAATTTAAAAAAAATATTCAGCCAATATTTTCTCTGTGTCTCAATGTAACTTTGAACATGTTTGCAAAAAAAAAAAAAGAAGCAAAAATGCAGTAGTGTTTTTTTATAATGTAAAATATTTATACTGGTTTTCTACCATTTTATAACTTTTTTTTTTTTTTTTTGAAATTGCCTTTAATGCCAAGTTTGCCTCTCCTGGGAAAATTGGCCTCATTTCTGACCCCAGATGATGGAATCTACTGTAATAATTTATTTAATTCACAGCTTTGATGTTGCATGACTTTAGACTCATTAAAAATAAATACATAAATGACCTTCAAAGATGAGGATTTTCCAGTGTGGCTATTCCATATTCTCTGAAGGGAATTCCAAAAGCAGAGTTTTTAGAGCAGTGTTGCTATTATTAGGTTGAACATGTAATTTCCCAAGGCTTTTGCTTTGAGGGGAACAACACTCCTTTACATATTTATGTTCTGGTATGTTTGTTTCAATTCTAATCTTATCTCCTATAGTAGTATCTGTCCACTTCCTCTAGTATGTTTTCCTTCTTACCTACAATGTTTATTTTAAACTATAATAAGACAAAAATGACCACAACTGATAATTATGATATCATTTGTAAATGAATTCCTTCATTTATTTTAACAAACGGTTTTGAGTTCTTGTGCAAGTTTTGGAAGTCTAGTGAGGGAACAAAAAAAAAAAAAAGTCCCGCCTAAAGTTTATAGCCTAACTTTAATCTTCCCAATCTAAAGTTCAAGGGAAAATAGCTTGTACCTTTCTTTCTTTAATCACATTTAGAACCTTTACCACTCTGAGAAGTCCTTTGTGATTATTGAATGTGTATGATGTACTTGTGAAAGGAAAAAGAAATACAAAGATTAAGGAATCATTTACAGTCTGACTGAGGCGATGCAACTTTTTTTTATGCACACATATACATGATATATTTAAAATTCTTATGAACACCTGAAATAGAAGAGGTAATATATAAGCAACCATTACAAGGGAATTAAAGTCAATATTAGGCAGGTTGTTTTGGAGTTGGTAGATTTTATAGTTTCAGAGCAGAGATGTGTTCCTTTGGATAGCACAGGAGTATTAGATAGCAAGATGGGAATAGGCAAATAGTTGCCACTTTTTCATGGGTTTAAGGCATGCTGTCTAAATTGGTTAATATTTTGAGTTTTCTTTATTTCTGAACATTGGAGTCTGTATTTTACTTTGTTTCTCATGAGCACTAGCTACTAAAAAACATAAATTTATCTTTGTCAAAAATGATAGTTACTTACATGATTTGATGTCTTTCCAATGATAAAATTGTCATTCAGAGCAATAAGGTAAGTTGAAGGTTAGATTTTTCTAATCTTATAAATCAGAAAAATCAAATCAGTCTTTGAACAGGTCAGTCATTAAATTGAATTTCTTTTTCCTTACTAGGATCCTCCGTTCAATGCAGAAGTTGACCAAATTACAGGTTACAAGACACAAGAGTATTCTTTGTATGCCAATTAAGAATCATAGGAAAGAGGTAAGCCAATTTTCCATTTTATAAAAGGTCATTTGGAAACATTTTCTTTTTTTAAAAAAATAAAGCTACACTTTGCATACTTATGAAATAATACTATTGTGACAGGTTAACTACAAAGTACTTAAATATTATGCTAAATAATAATAAAAATTATTACTTAGACTTTAGAGAGGGCTGAATCTTTACTTTGACTTAGAAATAGATTTCAGACGTTTTATTTCCTTACCTCACCCCCCATCACCACCCTAGGACCTTATTCTATCCTAAGATACATAATTTTGGTTGTGGCTGGAATCCATTTATTTCAATTCTATTGGAAGTGTCTGAATAATGCTTATTTCATAAAGGGGTTATCCAGTTGTAATGATTATCAACCGATTTTTGGGAGAGACTCAAAATGAGGTTTTGAAAACATGAAAATTGTAGCTAATTCCAAGTAAGTTTCATTATGAAATTATAACAAGCAAATGGAATGTTTGGGTTTATATTTCACCTAACTAGAAGGTTTGGTTTCTGTTAACCCTGAATTCCCTCTTCATTCATACTTACTTGGGAAAAAATTAATAAATTATCAACCAAATTGTATGTTTCAGTTACATGTTTTCAACTCTGGCTGCACATTACAATCAACTGAGGAACTTCTAAAATATTACCAGTTAAATCTGAATCTCTATGAGCAGAGTGTAGACACTGATACCTTTTTAAAGCTCTCCAAATAATTCTGCAGTGTAGCCAGGGTTGAAAACCGCTACTCTAAGTGAAACAAATGGATTGAAAGTGTGTCTGCTAGGGGATCTTAATCTTGGATGCACATTAAAATCACCCGGGAAGTATTTAGAAATTTTTAATGCCCAGGCTTCACTTTAAATCAGTGTCTCTGGAGTTGGGACCAAGGCATCAGTATTTTAAGACTCCCAGGTGATTACAACATGCAGCTAGGTTCAAGAACCACAGAACTACTGCCGAAGGTGCTAGGAACACTTAATGCTTCTACTTGACTTACATTCACATTCTGACATCTTTCTCTCCTCCATCTAGTCCTTTACCAAATCCCATTGATTTTTTTCCATTGGAGTGTTTTTCACTTCAGCTCCTTTCCATTCAAAACTATTGCCATAATTCAGATATTGAAGTAATGCTTGAACTTTTTAAAATGGTTTCGTAAGAGGCTTCTATACTTGCCATCAGTTTCCTTCCATTTCACCTGCTATGTTCCTGGGAATTGTCCTAAAACACAGCTTTCTGAACCAGTGCTCCTAAAACATTAGTGTGCAGATTTATCATACGGGGATTTTGTTAAAATGCAATTTCTGAATTCTGTAGGTCTAGGTGGGCATGAGATTCTTTTGTAACAAGGACCAAGTTGATGATGACCCCCTGAGTCTGTGGGGCACAATTTGACTAACAGGATCCTAAAGGACAGGATGCTAAAGGAATCACTTTTCATTAGTCTGAAATAAGTTCTCAGTGCTTTATGGCTGCTGTGTGGTTTCTTAAGGGGAAACTTAGAGTCAAAGTCACTAAATATCCTTGCAGTGAAAACATGATGATGAGATTAATTATTCAGTTAATTATTAATTGGATAATTTAATTGGTTAGTTAATTATGTGGATGAATATAGAAAAGACCATGCATGGATTAATGATGAGGTTGCCAGATACAGCAAACAAAAAACATGTACCTTGCAAAATTTGGGACACAGTTATGCTAAAAATGATTTGTTGCTCATCTGAAATTAAATTTGATTAGCCTTCCTGTATTTTATCTGATAGCCCTAGTTAATAAACCAAAGGCTGTGATTCTGTGCACTTGAGAAGATGGTGTTCAGCTTCTACTTACTTAAGTAAAATTGTGGCCCCCAATCTAACTTTGTACTGGCCAAGAGACCCAGGTTAAATCATACTGTCCTCTTTCTAAATAGTGCAAACAGTCCACCAACATTGGAAACTGGGGGAACTCATGAGAGTGTGCAACAAAATCAGGGTGAATTGAGTGGGATTGCCCTTCTGTGTATATGTGTTTCTCTTTTTATGATGACCTGTGCGGATTATTTAAATTAAACAAACAGGGATCCCTAGGTGGCGCAGCAGTTTAGCGCCTGCCTTTGGCCCAGGGCGCGATCCTGGAGACCCGGGATCCTGGAGACCCGGGATCGTATCCCACGTCGGGCTCCCGGTGCATGGAGCCTGCTTCTCCCTCTGCCTATGTCTCTGCCTCTCTCTCTCTCTCTCTCTCTCTCTCTCTCTCTGTGTGTGTGTGACTATAATAAATAAATAAAATTAAAAAAAATAAATTAAACAAACAACAATAATCCCAGCTGTCTTGAGGTATAATTTTTTTATTATTTATTTATGATAGTCATACAGAGAGAGAGAGAGAGAGAGAGAGAGAGAGAGGCAGAGACACAGGCAGAGGGAGAAGCAGGCTCCATGCACCGGGAGCCCGATGTGGGATTCGATCCCGGGTCTCCAGGATCGCGCCCTGGGCCAAAGGCAGGCACCAAACCGCTGCGCCACCCAGGGATCCCCTTGAAGTATAATTTAACACGATAAAATTCACACATTTTAATTGTACAGTTTGAGGAGTTTTGACAAATGTGCACACAGTCATGTAACCACTGCTGTAATCAAGATATAAAACATTTCTGTCACCTCAGATATGTCTCTGTCCCCCTAGCAGCCAACCTCCTTGCCCTTCCCCAACCCCTGACCCCTAATAATCACCAGTCTGTCTTTGTCTCTATTGTTTTTTTGCCTCTTCTCAAATGTCCTATAAATGGAGTCCTACCTATCCTATACGTTGTCTTGTGTGTCTGGCTTCTTTCACTGAGTACCATGTTTGTGAGATTCATTCATGTTGTTGCCTGTGTCAGTAATTTTTTCCTTCTTCAGTAATTTCTTCCTTCTTCTTGGCAAGTAATTTATTCTGTGGTGTGAATATATCAGTTTGACCATTCATTCATTGTTTGATAGACACTTGTTTGCAGTTTTATGAAAAAAGCCACTATTATGAAAGCAGCCACTGTCATGTTTGCATACAAGTCTTTGTGTGGACGTAATGCTTTCATTTTTCTCAGGTAAATATATAGGAGGGGAATTGCTAGGTCATATGGTAAGTGTTTAATTTTATAAGCAACTTCAAACTCTTTCCCAAAGTGGCTGCACCATGTGCGTTCTTACCAGCAATGTATCAGAGTTCCAGTTGCTTCACATCCTTGGCAACACGTGGTACTATCAGTTTTTCAAACTTTTAGCTGTTTCAGTGGGGATGATTTAAATTTGCTTCCATGAATATATAACCTCACTCTTAGCCAAGGACTCTCTGCTCACTTCCAGATCTGACTGACGTGGGTCCAGGTGCAGGCCCCAGACCGTGATTGTCGAGAGCTCTCCCTAAGATTCCGGCTGGCTTCCTGAGCATCCTTGATCGGCCTGCCTCCGTGTTCTTGCATCCTTTCCTGCTGTCTCTGCTCTACCCTGTAATGACTGGATAGGAAGGTGGGGCTCTTTACTGGTCTCCACAAAAGCTCACCCACACCAAGCATTTTCCAGAACAAACCCAGCTTTAGTAACACTCACTGGAGACCTAATCCCATCACTAAAGGGAGAGTTTCCAACCACCCCTTTTTAAAGGCCTTGCTGGCTCTCTCCATTCTCTACCTTCTTCAGTGGGCTCTGGCTCCCTGAACAGGGGAGCCTGATGCGGGAGTAGATCCCAGGACCCCAGGAACCAAGCCCTGAGTCAAAGGCAGACGCTCAACCACTGAGCCACCCAGGTGCCCTCAGAATTATTTTTAAATTTACAGCTAATGTTGACAAACCCAGGGCAATGTTTACTTTTGTGTACATACAGAAGTATTTTTCTCACAAAATTTTTGAAATTAAGATGGAGAGCCATAAGTAAGGCTTTTGGGAGCAGTTGTTAAGAGTGCTTGCTCTGGACTTGGATGCCATCTTTACCACTTCCTTGATATGTAGCCCAGGATGGAATTGGTTAATCCCTTTGGTTTTCGGTTTCCACAGGTACAAACTGGGTGTTATGAAAGGACCTGTCTCCTGGGCTTGTTGTGAAGGACAGATGCATTCATGGATGCTAGTAGCTCCTGGCACTTTAAAAGTGATCAATCAATGTTATTTTTTAAAAGGAGACATAGAACTAACAGAGCTTTTATGAGACATAAGGGATGATAAAATTATATGAAGAGGTCATCAGCACTTAGGCTAATCAGCCAGCTATACTCCCATGATAACCAGTGCAGTCCTTGACTTAACTGATCTGTTACCTTCTAAGCTTAAAAAGAAAAAGCCTTTCACTGTTTTTGCTCATCAATGAGGCAGAATTAATTTGGTACCTTCCCTTTTGTGTGGTGTGTTATTCCAACTGTATTGAGTAAGCCAACACCAATTTCTTTTTTTTAAGATTTTTAAAAATTTATTTATGATAGACAGAGAGAGAGAGAGAGAGGCAGAGACACAGGCAGAGGGAGAAGCAGGCTGCATGCAGGGAGCCCGACGTGGGAATCGATCCCGGGATTCCAGGATCATGCCCTGGGCCAAAGGCAGGCGCTAAATTGCTGAGCCACCCAGGGATCCCCAGCCAACACCAATTTCAACTACTTCCTACGGAACCTAAGTGTGATTTTATGAACAATCGGTGAGCAGTTTACTTTATTGATTGCTTACAAAATGGGCTGGTACTTTTTAGCGACCCTTTAAGACATAGGCACTGACTCCGGAAAGCTGCTTGAATGGAGAAACTGAATATTGAATACTAAAGTTTGAACTATAACATAGTCCAGGGAGTTAAGGAAGATTTTTAAGATTCAGTGAAATATATAATCTCATTTGCCTCTTCTTCCTATGCAATCTTTCAACTAAATAAAAATTTTCAGGAGTTCTTTTTGTTGATTTTGTAATCTACTAAGTGTAATAGATATATAGCAGTGCCTTTTTAGAAATGAGAGTCATGGATAGTCCTAAACTTATGTGATAGAAATTTTTGAAAAGAATCAACACAGGTAAGTTTTACAGTCTTTCCCTGTCCTTCTCCTTTCTAAGAGAATAGGGTTAATTGGAAAAGTAGTGGAAGAAAAGCTGGAGAAGCTTGAGGAGGCTAAAATAATTTATTTTGGAAAGGTCAAAGAACTGTTGGCTAGAGAAAATTAATGAAGACAAGAAGAGGAGGGGTTAAGGGAGAGAAGAGAGCCAGCCCAGGGTATCTATTTAGAGTGGTTTATGAGGATGGTGGGGTAGGGCCTTGGAAATTATTGCTATCCTGTGGAAACTCTTCTAAGGACCTGGCACATTTAATTCACTTAATCTTCCTAGCAGCCATAGGAGGTAGTCATTATTTGTTCCTACTTAACAGATGAGGAAACAGACCTGGAACACTTAAGAACTCACTGAAAGGGTTGTACTACAAAGCTGTGGTCATCAAGACAGTGTGGTATTGGCACAAAAACAGACACATAGATCAATGGAACAGAATAGAGAACCCAGAAGTGGACCCTCAACTTTATGGTCAACTAATATTTGATAAAGAAGGAAAGACTATCCATTGGAAGAAAGACAGTCTCTTCAAAAAATGGTGCTGGGAAAATTGGACATCCACATGCAGAAGAATGAAACTAGACCACTCTCTTGCACCATACACAAAGATAAACTCAAAATGGATGAAAGACCTCAATGTGAGACAAGATTCCATCAAAATCCCAGAGGAGAACACAGGCAACACCTTTTTTGAACTCAGCCACAGTAAATTCTTGCAAGATACATCCACGAAGGCAAAAGAAACAAAAGCAAAAATGAACTATTGGGACTTCATCAAGATAAGAAGCTTTGGCACAGCAAAGGATACAGTCCACAAAACTAAAAGACAACCTACAGAGTGGGAGAAGAGATTTGCAAATGACGTATCAGATAAAGGGCTAGTTTCCAAGATCTATAAAGAACTTATTCAACTCAACACCAAAGAAACAAACAATCCAATCATGAAATGGGCAAAAGACATGAACAGAAATCTCACAGAGGAAGACATAGACATGGCCAACATGCACATGAGAAAATGCTCCGCATCACTTGCCATCAGGGAAATCCAAATCAAAACCACAATGAGATCCCACCTCACACCAGTGAGAATGGGGAAAATTAACAAGGCAGGAGACCACAAATGTTGGAGAGGATGCGGAGAAAAGGGAACACTCTTACACTGTTGGTGGGAATGTGAACTGGTGCAGCCACTCTGGAAAACTGTGTGGAGGTTCCTCAAAGAGTTAAAAATAGACCTGCCCTATGACCCAGCAATTGCACTGTTGGGGATTTACCCCAAAGATTCAGATGCAATGAAACTCCGGGACACCTGCACCCCGATGTTTCTAGCAGCAATGTCCACAGTAGCCAAACTGTGGAAGGAGCCTCGGTGTCCATCGAAAGATGAATGGATAAAGGAAGCTGTGGTCTATGTATACAATGGAATATTCCTCAGCCATTAGAAATGACAAATACCCACCATTTGCTTCAACGTGGATGGAACTGAAGGGTATTATGCTGAGTGAAGTAAGTCAATCGGAGAAAGACAAACAGTGTATGTTCTCATTCATTTGGGGAATATGATTAATAGTGAAAGGGAATATAAGGGAAGGGAGAACAAATAAGTGGGAAGTATCAGAAAGGGAGACAGAACATAAAGACTCCAAACTCTGGGAAACGAACTAGGGGTGGTGGAAGGGGAGGAGGGCGGGGGTTGGGGGTGAATGGGTGATGGGCACTGAGGGGGGCACTTGACAGGATGAGCACTAGGTGTTATTCTGTATGTTGGTAAATTGAACACCAATAAAAAATAAATTTATTTTAAAAAAAACTCACTGAAAGCTGGGTAACCAAAACTGACAAAGCTGAGATTCAAATCTAGGCACTGTGTAAGTGTAAGAAATCAGACAGAAAAAGACAAATGCCATCTGATTTCACTTCTATATGGAATCTAAAAAAACAGAGTAAACAAACAAAAAGTCAGAAATAAACTCAAAAAATCAGAGAACATGCTGGTAGTTGCCAGAGGGGAGGAAGGTGGAAGCAGGTGAAACAGATGAAGGGGATTAGAAGGTACAAACTTCTGGTTATAAAATAAATAAGACAGGGATGAAAAGTACAGCATAGGGAATATAATGAAAAATATTCTAATAGCTACGTATGGTGGCGGATTGTCATTACATTTACTGTGGTGAGCATTTCATAATGTATAGAATTGTCAAATCACTACATTTGTGCACCTGAAACTAATATCGCCAGCCAACTACGTTGTTGACTATGTTCCACAGTAACAACACAAACTAGGCAGTCTGGCTATAAGGTAACAATATGGGAAGGAGAGTTTCTTGAAATTCTGCTGTGGGTGATGACTGCATCCACTTTCTTCCCCACACTTAAATTATTTGGAGGCTGAGGGAGGTGGGAGGAAGGGCAGTGATGTATTTAGTGTGGCTCCAGGCAGAGGCAGGACTTGAAGGCAAAAACCAGGAGACCTGGCTGTATTCTGATGACTTTTAATGATAAGTGTTTAAACCACTCTGCAGACTCTTTTACTTTAAAAAAAAAATTAAGAAAACAGGAAAGCTAGAGAAAGTGGGATCCGAGTCACATTCTCTATACTACCTCAAGAGGAATCTGTCCAGTAAATAGGGGGAAAAGTTTTCACCAGGGGTAAGAGTGACAGGGAGCATGTTTCAATTTAATCTGGGCCAGTATGCTCTAGAGGAAAACCATGATGTGCTCATGAAACATAATGAGAAAAATTACAGCAAATGTATGAATTTTTAGGGCTGCTATCAAATTTCCTTTCAGACTTGGATTTGGGGGACCTGGACATTTGGACCAGTTTTTGTCACTTGGCATTGGTTATATATATAATGAGACCATTCTTTTATGTTTAGTGAAGAAGTATAGGAAAGTTCAACTCTTTCTAACTCAGATGACCTATTTCAGAACTGCTGTCCTCCTCTGAAGTATTGCCCATTATGACAAGGTAGAGAGGAGTGTTTATTTTATTTATTTATAGGCATTGCACCAGTGAAAGAGAAGGCATTATAGTGAGATAATGCAAGTTCTTTGAAAATTTCTTATTGATCTGAACTAGAGATTATATCCAATTATGCCTTTCAGGCTGGGCTGAAACACTTCTTTTCTCTTGGTTGCATGTCAATTCTAGTTACTGAGTAGAAATCTAATTTAGAATAACATTTTTTTCCTCCTCTATTTTTATTTTAGCACCTTGATTTTATTTTATCATACTTGATGATGTACTTAGAATTCTTTGATGCGGATATAAGTTTATAATAGAGGATACACAGTAATTTTTTTAGTGTGGTAAAGGAGCATTTTAGCTATCTAAATTTATATCTTCCTTTTAAAAAAAACTGGAAAATTCTGGGGCACCTGGGTGGATAAGTTGTTTAAGCATCTAACTCTTGATATCAGTGTGGATCATGATCTTGGGGCCGTGAGATCAAGCCCTGTGTCAGGCTCCACACTCAGCTCAGAGTCTGCTTGAGATGCTCTCTCTCTCACTCTCCCTCTGCCCCTCCCCCAGCGTGTGCAGATGCACACCCATGTGCACGCACTCTCTGTCTCAAATAAGTAAATAAATTTGTTTAAAAATTATGAAAACCCAAAAAAAACACTAATTTTTATGAGTTTTTAATGAGATAAATACTTTTGGTGACTCAAAATTTAATGCCTGCTAAAAATCACAAAATAAAGCATTAATGGAATCAGATGTGTAATTCCAGCTGCAATTTGCAAACATAAATTTTTCTAGAATTTAAGTTAACCATATCTGCTTATTTTTAAATAATCTGATTTTTCCCCCTCTGAATTATCTTATTTGGACAAGTAACTATTAAATCACTGTACTGTATAGAGCGGTGGTGTAGGCAGTGAAGATATTTAAAAAAATGAAGCAAGGGAGATACTTGTTGAATTTTTTTTTCAATTTCTAGGTGTAGATCTTGTACTCCAGACATTAACTATCAGTAGTACATGGTAACAAGACAAATGTTAAATGAGTTAATTATTCAACTCACTGATGCAAAGAAAAGACTGGATTTTGAGAGGTAGAGAAATTACAGAGGAAAGATGCAAGCTGTGGTCTCATATGGCATATTCTTGCTTTTTATCCCACAGCCTTAAGAGAGGCACATACATGCTTTACATGAGGGGGTGGAGGCAGAGTGCATGCTTGCCAAGGATCTCGTGCTCACAGCCCTGACTGCGTCTTAAATTTGACAAGTAAGCTTGAAACAGATAAACATTATGGCTTTATGCATAATCCTTCAATTTTACGTCCGGCTAAATGAAAATACAGCTACAAAAAGAAGCAGAGTTTAATTGCAGACTGTCACTTGGTTTAGATTTATTTTAGTCTTAAAGAATTGGCTAGTTATGTGTATTTTATTTTATTTTATTTTATTTTATTTTTTGGTGCAAAACGGTGGTTTTATTAAAAACTCTTTTGTTTTAAACTTATAAAGTGTTCAATGCACTTATTCCCCTGTGATATTCTTTCTTGTATCTTTGTCGTTAGAAACGAAAGTACTCTGCAAAGTTTCCATTTGTTCTGGGCTTGAGGTCATGATGGTGATGGTCTCTTCTCTTTGCTTTTTTCCACATTACCCTTTAAATAATACAGGAATGTAATTTACAAAGACGATGGTACCCACTTTCCTAGGAAAAAACATTTGTTAAGAGAAGCAGATGAAAAACACAGTGCTAATAGGTTAAGTCCCAGAGGCTGTGCTGCTGATCCAGGAGTAAAAGGGTGAATGACAGTTTGAGGTTGACGATTACATTTGTGATAAGGCTCTATTTCCCCAAATCTTACTCTTAATGCTCAAAAAATTTGGTTTAGACTGAAGGCTATGTTTTATTCAATATGAAGTTTATCTTCATTGGTACTTTCAGGATATATTCCAGCATTTGTTGGAATGCATTACATTTTTTAATGTAATCCTTTATAGATTTAATTTTGAGAAGTTTTACATTGGCCTTGAATAATGAATACTAGAGATCTGGAACAAGTTGCTGATAAGCATAAACAATTTCTTTGTAGGATGTCTAACCCAGAACTGCATAATTAGACCTTTGGATGGATTTTTTAAATTATTAAATAATGTCCATTTTTCATGCGTTTTTAAAGAATTAAGGTGGTTGTCAATGATATTTCTTTTCTCAGGAGATATATGTGCAAACATCTATTTCACTTATTAACAGCTAAGATTACATAGGTACAGTGCTTTATGTAAACTGCTAGGGTACTCTCTATTCTGTCTTCTATCCTCATCTAAAAATGTCTATTTCTCTTCTACCAGTGAGATGGAAATGAATACTCCAGGCTTAAGGAAAAGATTTCTTTAATAAAAAAGGGTTTAAAAAAATGTATTTAAGAAGATTTAAAACACAAAGAGTGCCTGGATGGCTTAGTCAGTTAATCACCTGCCTTGGGGTCAGGTCATGATCCCAGGTCATGATCCAGGGACCCTGGGATCAAGCCCTGTCTGGATTGTTGCTCAGTGGGGAGATTACTCCTCTCTCTGCGCCTTCCATCCGCCTTCCCCCTCTCCACCCTGCACTCATGCACTCTCTCTCTCTCTCTCTCTCAAATATAAAATCTTTAAAAAAAGAGCAAGAGATGATGATTTTATAAAATTTTTGAACCCTATTTTTCTTTTTTGCATCACGTCATAGCAGTGAAATAAGGTGAAAGTAACCTGGATTTAGAATTCCAGATCTATTTTATTATTACACATTATTTGATGATCATTAGTACTGTGTTCGTGGTCTTTTTCAACCTAACAAATTGCCTCAAACGTAGTGATTTTGAACAACAGACACATAGTCTCCCACAGTTTGTGTGGTTCAGGAATTCCAGAGTGGCTTACCCAACTGCATGGTGTGGCCCAGGTTCCCTGCAAGGGCCGGATCTCAGCACTCAGGATCCAGGCAGGGAGGGTTGACTCATGCTTGAGAACCCACTTCCCAGGGGGCTCACTCACATGGTTGTTGGCAGGAGGCTTCAGTTCCTCGCCAAGTGGGCCTCTCCACAAGGCACTCAGTTTCCTCATCGTGTGGCAGAGAGTAGCAAGGAGGAGGCACCAGTGCCTTGTCTGACCGAACCTCCAGAGTTGTTCACCTTCCCTTCTTGGGATTCTGTTCTTTAGAAGCCAGGCATCAAGGCCAGGCCAGACCCAAGGGGTGAGGGATTAGGCTCCACCTCTTGAAGAGAGGAATATCAAAGAATTTGAGAAGATATTTTCAAGCCACCAGAAGTACTAGCTGTACTTTGAGGCTTTATTCTCTTTCCTTAAAACAGGTCAGCATAAACTTCTTACTGCCACATAAAGTTCTCAGGTGTGGAGAGATCACTTAATAACAAGCAAATGGCAGAGAAAGAAAATGAGCAGATCTAAATTACCTATTATTCAAATGTGAATTAGCAAGTAAGTACATCACCCTAAAAATATATTTGATCGCTTTCTCACTTATCCTGTTATTGACAGCAAATATCTATCAAGCGTTGAGTGCATTCGGGACAAAGCATAGTGCGACAATAAGGCATAGATATAAATCATGTCTTTGGAACACAACTAGTTGGAGAGCCAGGGTCAGAGTAGAGAATATGAGGTTAAAAATGAAAATACCTCGATT